CCCTTTCACATTTCATTATTATTATCCACATCAAACCAACTTCGTGCAACTGTTTCCATTTTTATTTATTTATTTTTTTGTTCATTCTTCTTCTTCTTCTTCTTCTTTTTTAAGCGCTCCTTCTTCTCTGTTTTTTCAAACGAAATCAGTCTAACAAAATCAGTCTAACTTGGCCAGTGCTGGCCAATTTTTTTCTTCTTCTTCTTTTTTTTTTTTCCTTTTTCTTTTTTTCTTTTTTCTTACGGTTTCCACCTACTTTCTCCCCCTCTTCCTCCCCCTCTTCTTCTTCCTCGTCTTCCTTCTCCCACTCTTCCTGTTCTTCTTCGCCTTCTTCTTCTTGCGATATAATCTGTTGATGCGTTTTGAGGAAGAAGAAGAAGAAGAAGAAAAAGAAGAACAAGAACAAGAACAAGAACAAGAAGAAGAACAAGAAGAATAGTGAATAGTGATAAACAGAGGCCATAGACTGTCCTTCGTGCATGCTTCGACAGAAAATTCCATGCTCAACCGCACGCACTGAGCTCAGAAGAAGAGGAGGAAGAAGAGGAGGAGGAAGAAGAGGAAGAAGAAGAAGAAGAAGAAGAAGAAGAAGAAGAAGAAGAATGGAGATGGATAATTTGAGATCACCAAAAAAAAATAAAAAAATTGGAGATAGCGAGGCTAACGCTATGCGTTGGAGTCCAACAGAACAAGCATTCCAACACTCAATTCAATTCTTCTTCTTCTTCTTCTTTTTCTTCTCCCCGGGACTTTTCTCCGACGTGTCACCCTCTTGTGGTGGTTGTTATCGATTTCTCCTTCATTTCCTTCTTAGAGCATACTCACTCACACAGCGAGGTTGTCGTCTGTGTCTGGGGGTAATTGCGGTTAGAAACAGCCAGAAAAGTCATGGTGTGAGTATATAGCCCCTACGTCTTGCTTCCTTCCCCCGGCCCCCCATTCGAGGCGTTTTCCTTTTTGATTTTTCTCTCCGGAACGGTCTTTGCGTCTATCATTCATTTTATTAAATTTACTCTCGCATTGGAGTTATTTTTATTGGTTTTCTTTCCTTAAAAAACAAAAAAAAATTGGTTTAGAGATTTCAACGACCAGTACCTTTTGATTGATGATCGATCATCCATGATTGATGATTGGTTATCGATCATGGATGATTGATGATTGATGATGGTTGATTGATGATTGATGATCGACCATCGATGATTGATGGTTGTTGATCGACCATCGATGATTGATGATTGATGATCGATCGATCATCGACGATTGATGATTGGTGATCGATCGATCGATCATCGATGATTGATGACTGATGATCGTTGATTGTTGATCAAACGTCGATGATTGATGATTGGTGATTGATACAAGTAGGGGAGGACCTCTCCGCACCTTGTCGTCCCTACGATGACGTCCCACGTGCTGCGTTTCCTTTTCGTTTCTCCTCATCCATCTTCTTCTAAACGTAATTGATCGACGGTAAGAAATGTCCGGCCAGTTCAGCGCGAGCCTTTCATTGTTGCCCGTCGATCGGCTACGTTTAGAAGAAGATCGATGACGCGAAACGAAAAGGATTGCGAACGACGTCCGCTAAGCTAGAAGCGTCCATCTCCATAACCGATTAACGGTCAGCAACCGATTAACGGTCAGAGATGGACGTTTCTAGCTTAGCGGACGTCGTTCGCAATGTTTTCTTTTCGAAGGAACGCGCGCGCGCGCGCGTGTGTGTGTGTGTGTGTGTGTGTGTGTGTGTGTGTGTGCGCGTGCGTGGGGGTAGGTGTGCGTGTTTGTGTGTGTGTGTGT